AAAATCATTGTCTGTGATTGGTTACTGTGTCATTTTAGTGTGCTATATTTCTGACTGTCCCAAGGACGTCTCTATAGAGTATATATAAATAAACGCAATTTGAGTGCTTGGATTCATTGTGTGCTGGTTGGGTGTTTGTAGAATAGAATTTCTGAACTATATCAAGACTTCTTGCTGATACATTTCGGTCAAGGGAATACAGTAGCCTGCCTGGACTCTGGTTCATTGTTTTGTGCTCGTTATTCGACTAAGCTGAACTCGTAGTAGTGTAAGCATACCTAGAGATGAACTTAACAATTTGGCGATATATTATATTCGCGCTCCACTGAATTGTCTACTGCAGAAGCATAGCATATGAAATGGACTACAGAATGCAACGCGGCTTTTGGAAAACTCAAGTCCATAATTAGCTCGGAATTGTTATTAACGCACTACGACCCATCCATGCCGATCATCGTAGCAGCAGACGCTTCAGCATATGGCCTAGGTGCTGTTTTCTCACATCAGTTTCCAGACGCGTCAGAAAAAGCCGTTATGCATGAATCCTGTACACTTACCACAGCAGAAAAGAAGTATATCCAGATAGAGAAAGAGGCTCTTGCTCTTGTGTTTGCTGTTTGCCGTTTCCACAAGTTTCTGTACGGTCGGAGATTCACGCTCCTCACAGATCACAAGCCTCTGTTAGCAATATTTGGTTCAAAGTCTGGCATTCCAGCCCATTCCGCAAATCGTCTTCAGCGATGGGCCTTGGTACTTTTGGGGTATGATTTCGAAATCCATTATCGACGTACTCTACGATTCGGTCAAGGAGACGCTTTGTCACGACTCATTAATGATCAAGTGGCGGCTGAGAAAAACATGGTAATCTTATTTCTGTCAGTGGAAGACCACGCGGAATGATATCTGACAACCGCAATACGGGCATTACCTGTGTCTGCTTCTAGAAACGACCCCGTCATCAAGATGACGATGAAATATGTCACTAACGGTTGGCCGTCGAAGAAGTTTGATGATGACATGAAACAGCTGTATCAGCTGCGGGATTCACTGTGCATCGTGAACGATTGTTTGATGTTTGGTGAAAAAGTAGTGGTGCCAGAATCCCATCGTAAGTGCATGAGTAAGTAAGTGCATAAGTAAGTAAGTAAGTAAGTAAGTAAGTGCATAAGTAAGTAAGTAAGTAAGTAAGTAAGTAAGTGGCGAAGTAAGTAAGTAAGTAAGTGGCGAAGTATGTAAGTAAGTAAGTAAGTAAGTAAGTAAGTAAGTGGCGAAGTAAGTAAGTAAGTAAGTAAGTAAGTGGCGAAGTAAGTAAGTAAGTGCATAAGTAAGTAAGTAAGTAAGTAAGTAAGTAAGTAGTAAGTAAGTAAGTAAGTAAGTAAGTGCATAAGTAAGTAAGTAAGTAAGTAAGTAAGTAAGTAAGTGCATAAGTAAGTAAGTAAGTAAGTAAGTAAGTAAGTAAGTGCATAAGTAAGTAAGTAAGTAAGTAAGTAAGTAAGTGGCGAGTAAGTAAGTAAGTAAGTAAGTGGCGAAGTATGTAAGTAAGTAAGTGGCGTAGTAAGTAAGTAAGTAAGTAAGTAAGTAAGTAAGAGAACCAAGGAAACAACATAGAGCATTATTATTCTTTTATGGAACTCCTTATATATGTATCATCAGTAGTTGTTTTATACTTATTGAAAAGATTCAAAGTTAGATATATCTTTATTGATAAGAGAATACTAATCAATAATGTATTATCTAGTTTCTAATTCTGATTAAACTCTATTGTCTACTAGTCTAAATGATTTCAAAATGCATACATTATGTTTTGAAGATAGTGGATCGAAAGTCAAGATAATAAGACACCTCTAACCTAAATAATCAATGACAAGGTGTGTATACTGTCTTTAAGAAATTCATACTTTCCTTAGTGTACATTCCTGACAGTCACAATGTCGCTGGTTGAGTTTTAATGATCTTTGAATGTAGAAAAGGAATATATTTATATATGGTTATAATCTAGGAAACTACTTCTAACAACCCAATATCAACTGTTCAGATGTGTTATGTTCGTCACTTGGTACGCTTGAAGCTATTACGAGTTCACCTTAGTCGATAAACGCGAACGAGACAATAACCAGCGTCCAGGTAGGCTACCTTGAATCCAAACGGTAAAACAGAAGTCTTGGTAAGCGTAGAAAGTATATTCTACAAACACCCAGCAATCACAGTACAATCAAGCACACAACTCTCGTTTATTATTTATACATTATAGAAACGTCCTTGAGACAGTTACGAAAATAGCACACTAAATTAGAGAGCAGCCAATCACAGCCATGGGTTTTCCTGGTGGGAAATGAAATCTCTAAGTCAACTGATCAGCCCATGCTGGCTGCAAACGTGAAATCCAAAATAAGGCATTTATCAAGCTAGTTCTGAGTATCTAACATCCCCAGCAGATGAAGCTTAGTTAAAAAGGTGACTCAATTCATGTAATCGTCACTATGAAACACGTTAACGTTCAAAGCGAAAGTACTCAGTTCAAGTCTCAAGATGAAACATACATCTTGGGAATCGAATCCAGAATATTTAAATTTCACTGATTATGGTTAATCTTTCAAACACTATATTTTCATCATCTAATAGTCTATACGTCCAGTAACAATCAATATAACAATATTACTCAACTACATTCTAATGTCATTGATAAGTAACCGCCTCATTTATTCAACGTTTGTTATTAGGACTTATACAGTGTATCCTAGGTTGTTTTAAAGGTTTGTTTAACTAAAATTACTGCTTCCTTTAACCTGTACCTGTGTATAAAATTATTAAACATCATACTACTGTAGTGAACGAGAACAGGTGGGGAGACCGAATTGTATTTAACGAAAATTACAGAGTTACTCAGTAAAATAGGAAAACCATATCCTAAATCGTTCATTTGCAAAATATCAGTACATCATATCGAACTGGACTGTTCCTGTTGCAAAACATCAATCCATTGTCACTAGGAGACCGAATTGTATTTAACGAAAATTACAGAGTTACTCAGTAAAATAGGAAAACCATATCGTAAATCGTTCATTTGCAAAATATCAGTACATCATATCGAACTGGACTGTTCCTGTTGCAAAACATCAATCCATTGTCACTATTCATGCGTTTCATACAAATTCCATTGTTTTCTAACTCTTCCTTTCTTGATCTTCCCCCATCTTCTGCTGCCAGACATTACGTTGACTGACACGTCATATACTACTTATAAGTAGCTCGCACCACACTACTACTAGACAAACACCACGTACTAAATAAACGCTATATTCTATTTCAATTTTTAATCTCTAGAAGTTACTTTCAAGTCCTGACTGATGGAGTTCAATCCTGTTGTTGTGTGAATTAGTGCTCATCGAAAACAGTTAGACATTAGTACCGTTGGATGTCAACTCAGTGGTCCAGAGTTCATACGTAAGACCAAAGGTCCTAGGTTCGAATCCTGAGAGTAGCGAGTGTCGTGGATGAGCACTGTTGATGAGTATCATACCAAGACGAAACGGCCGTTTAGTACTTCCACGTTTCTAGATATTTTCAAGCTGTTTAAATTTTCTATAATCTAATTACGTTCGTAATGAGAATCACAGAACGACAATAATAATAATAATAAATAGTTAATCGAGTTATTATTATTATTTCGTCTAGCCTCCATGTAACAAAGAAAAAAGATAACAACTGATATTTTTGTCAACATCTTATCACATATACACACACACACACATCTACAATCCGTAAGCATAAAATTATGTAAACTTATCTCTAAACAGGTACAAAACAATCATAAACCAGAATACAAGTTTGTTTTTTTATTCATTTGTTGATATTCACTGATAGATTGACATTATTATTTAAAACAACAATTATTGTTCAACATTGAACGGTGTATCCCGCGTTCAAAATTCAATTCTTCCATTTATATGTTTTGTGCTCTACTACTACTACTGAGGCTGAGAGAGCGACTTGTTAAAGGGGTGTGTGCTACTTATACGAACCATATAAGTAGTATAAGAAGGGACGTGAAAGAAGAACTCTCACGGTCAGAAGAGGAAAACGGAAAGCAAATGGAGTAAAAGCAAGAAGCAAATGGAGTACCGACAGGAAGTAAAGGAAGCAACAGCAGGAATGGAAGAAGGCTGGAGCGTTGGAAGTCAGGACTCAAAGATGGTGTGCAAATAGAGTGTTCAATGTAATGTTTTCGTTTTTAATTGACGAAGAGTGTAAATTTGCTGAATACCATTTTATCGAGCCTGTCTCAGTCTTCTCACTACTACTACTATTACTTCTACTACTATTATTACTACTAATACTACTACTACTACTACTAGTGGACTGAGCCATGTCGGTAATTGTCGACTACCTGGTTGGGGTCCGCGATATGATAATAATCGATGGTTAGAGACCTTGAATGACATGGCTCGCAATGACATCGTTCGCAATGGCTCCGGTGCATTTATTCTCTGTGTTCTCTCAAACCCTAATCTTCTGGATTCTTCAACAACTCTAGTTTCGACTCTCAAAACTTTTCTCACTGAATCATACTTCTTGAATAGTATCTTCTAATCCTAACCTCTCCGATTACTTCCAATACCTTTACTACCTCTTCTACTATTGGATTTGAATTGACGATTACTTCTCTGTGCTGATGTGGTATGGCGACATGAACTGATGTACTTATGTACAAAGTTCTACGTTGCATCTGACTGACTACTATTACTACTACTAATACTACTATGGTGCTTCTGCTTTTTGTTTTGAAGCGGTTTATTGAAGAAAACATGAGAAGAAACATATATATATATATATATATATATGCTTCTACTATTTACAACTTGATTTTAAATTAAATTGTCCAATGGAAATTCGAATAAATGTTACATGTACGTACAATTAATTTATTTGTGGGTGTTTTAAGACAACAAAAAAAAACATTATAAATATATATATATATATAAAGCAAACACCTGTCTGATATTTGTTTGTTTATATGAGGTGGCACTGAGTGTTACAGACTGAGTTGTTGAGTTGTTGTTTCATCAATACTGTAAGTGATAGAAAGCTTTATTTTGTTATTATTATTAATATTATTGAGAATATTGGTTCAAATATTGTTAAATTTTTAACAAACGAATTGTTAAAAAATTTTTTTCGATATTAGTAAACTTTATAGTAGAATAAATAGATTGTGGCTAGTAGGGTCGAGTCGTAGATATGTGTTTCTTCCTAATTGGAACTTGTCGGTCGGATTTACATGAATATCAAGGTTGAAATTCAGTCAACCATATTTGGATTTTGATAATTCAGATCTTTTCTTAGAATGGTTTTAGTGTAACCATCTTTTTAGTCGAAGACTGACTTTAGCGCCAGAGAACTAACTATTGAAAATCACAGAATATTCAAGAGCTTTTGGGTAAAAGTAGGCCGCAAATGAAAATATGATATCATGAGATATCCTTAGTTGCCTTAGAATGGTATAGATCGAAACATTGGATTTTATCTAGGTGATTTAAGCATATTGCATTCATTGTGAGACACCGATGTATTTATTGGATTTGATTTCGTATATTGAATGGTCGCTGTTCCTTATTGATGAGTCATAAACTTTGCTAAGTCAGATGTTGATAGCTGCGCGGTAGTTCTTGTGGATATCGATTCGTGATCAGAATTTACTTCAAACTGAGTAGTATTCACAGACATTTAATCTGAGTTTTATAAAGCTATTCAATGTTATTTTTCTAAATCATATTTTCAGATATTTAACTTCCATGAATTAATGAGACTTACTTAGTTACTTACACCTATTATCCTCAATGGGAGCATAGACCGCAGATCAGTTTTCTCTGATCAACTCTGTCCTGGGCTTCCCTTTTCAGTTCTGTCCAAGTTTTGTTCATTCTTCTCATATCTTTCTCTATTTCTCGGTGAAATGTGTTCTTTGGCCTTCTACTTTTCTTTTTACCTTGAGGGTTCCAAGAGAAGGCTTGTCTTGTAAAGTAGTTGGGTACTTTTCGTAGTGTGTGTCCTATCCACTTCCACCACTTCTTGGATTAATGAGGACTGTTGTTGAAATATTTCTTACTGTTTAATCAGTTGTTGTAAGACTACCATTGGGAACCTGAATGCACTGGAAGGCCATCAAGTCGTGGTATGGGACTCATCAGCAGTGCGCATCCACAACTCCTTCTACTGGTAGGATTTGAGCTCAAGACCTTCGGTTTTGCTTATGAATGCCTAACCTGTGGATCATTGAGCCGGCATCCGATGGTGTTGATGTTTAACTGTGATCAATCACCCATTGTCCCTGGTAGTTACAGCCTAAACCCGAACAGGGTTGAACTCCACTGATTACATCTTCTCACGAAGACGGTCACTAGTGATTCGAATGAAAGTCAAATTTCAAATAAAATTCAATATTTTTTTAAAAATAATTTCTAACAAGTTTATTCAAATTGCAATTGAGGTATTAACTAAATTTACAGACAAGTTTTAGATACTAAAACCGATTGTAGGTATTCAATGAACTGATGGATCTCGAATAAGTAGATTCAAAGTAAAACTTACAGCATTTAGGGTCTCAAATGAGTTGTTCTTTCTTTAATTTCTAACGAAAACGAAAACAGAATGGATAGAATATGACTATCGGTTAAATCCTGGACACGCGTTTCGTCCTATTTGGAACTGGTCAGCTCGCAATGTACCTGCATGCCAGTTTTGATGCTTAGTGAGGGACTCGAACCCAGTGTGGTGTATACTACCACTTAAAATGTGAATTATAACTAACATACAGGAGATAAGCATTTGAGTGTCGGCTAGAGGTTACCTTTGAAGAATGCTGGGTCCGAATGTATGTCTCGATCAAAATATTTTCAAAACTAGAAGACATGTGAACGAAGACATCCAAGTGTCTGCTTGTTTACGATTGAAGTCTGAAGATAAGATTCATACATCCCGCTAGTAAAGTATGTCTTCTTTCAATAAGTTGCTTCTTACTTCTGGTCTCTACATCATCGTTCATTACACCAATACTGTTCGCTTTAAACTTTTATCGTAATGTCTATTTTGAGATAATCCACAGACAAATGTCCAAGACTAATCAAATATCATCTGAACTATTAACAACAACAGAATAATCTCAAACCATTTCAGCTTGAATGAAAATGAATAAAAATATTAATCATACGTAATAAGCTCCAGACAGTGAAATTCTAAATTGTTATTCATTAAAATCTGTCATTTTAATTGTATTTTATCTAGTTGATAAGTCTAAAATAGAATAAAACATGCTTGTTCGATATTTGCTATGAAAATGTGTTGGAAATAGTCAATATCAAGACAAGTTAATCAAGATGCTCGTTCATATATTAAAACAAGACACTCACTGATCAATAGCAGACATTGACATAACACTGACATAACTAAAACCTAATTTTTTTTTCCAATATGACTAAAAATTTTGTCTAAGGATACTCTGTTGATAATAGTTTAACTAGACAAAAATGATTTTTTTATGAGTATTTTTTAGTAAATAATAAAAGCGAAGAAAAACCCCCATTAAAATCATGTTGAATAGGAGGGAGGAACTAACCAATCATAATTATGAGAGACCTATTTTCTACTATTTAAACATTAAAATCGTTGTTAGACTACCGTTAGAAACCTGGTAGCACTAGATGGCCGTTTCGTCCTGGTATGGGATTCATCAGCAGTGCGCATTCACAATTCTTGCTACCTGCGGGATTCGAACCCAGGACCTTCGGTTTTACACGTGAATATATATAATCTAGACCACTGATCCGGCCGGCATCCAGCGGTGCTCATTTCTAACTGTGACCAATCTAAGGATTACCGCACAACCTTTCTCTTTGTCTTTGGTAGTTATTGCCTACACCCGAACAGGGTTGGACTCCATTGATCACATCTTCTCATCACTAGAAATCTAAGAATTTCCTCATAATGCTAATCACTTGCAAGAACTTATCTAATGTTTGTATGAAGACATGTGAAACATTAAGTTTTTATTACATGCCACCTTGTCTATACTAGCAGCCTGTGTAAATAATAAGTAGAAAAGTAGTAATGTTAAATTAGACAACAGTTTTTAATTGCCAACTAATTCCATTTTTAATATGATGTCGAGATAATCATGACGATGACGGTGACGATGACATTGGCTCTGTGATGTCTTCATCTTTAGAACTCTTCAGTGAAATTATTCATTCATGATTTTGTTAATGAAATTGACTTTTGTCTTTTATTTAATAACTATGAGAAAGATTGTGTGAAAGAAGTTTTCAGCGTGAACTATTGTCAGCATACACACACTTAGATTATTTTAGTGTGGATATTTCAAATTGAGAAATAGATAATCAGTTATCCACAAACCAATAAACTAATAAGCTATGACAAACTAAGCCTCACTATTTCATTCTTTTACATATTCCTACAGAGGTTAAGCGTTCGAGTGCAAGACCGAAGGTCCTGGGTTCGAATCCTGTGAGGTGTAGGACTCGTGGATGCGCATAGCTGATGAGCAGTCCCATACCCAGGAAAAAACGGCTGTCTTTCAGTACTTCCAGGTTTCTAATAGTGGTCTAATAATGCCTAACCACCGACTGACGCGACCGAGTTATGTTTTGTGGTGTAGCAGTAGGTTGGAAGAAAGTTTGGGGCGGCCAAACCAAAACATGGCACAAATCCATAAAGTCAATGACAAGTGGACTGAGTCATGTTTGTAGATGTAGGCTACCTAGTTGGTGTCCGCGAGACGAAATTCACCAATGGCTAGAGACCTTGTACGACATGACTCAGAATCGTTTGCAATGGTGCAGGTGCATCCACTCTTTGTGTTCTCTCTAATTCTAATCTTCTGAATTCCTCATAATCTCTATCTTTCTCCTTCTAAATTTACCTCATTGAATTATACTTCTCAAATCATATCTTCGCTCCCTAATCTTCTCCATTACTGCTAATACTTCTACTATCTCTACCACTCTGGGATTCCGTCTCTATGCTAATGTGGTATGGCAACCTGAACTGATGTACTTACGTACAAAGTTCTACGTTGTATCTGTCTGTCTGTCTATCTCTAGTAATGAGTGAATGATTGATGATTTCACTTCGACACAGTCCTTGAAATATCTGTCTTACTAATTTTCTCCTTTATCATTATTATTTCAGGGTTATCCTAATGTTCATCATTAGAAAAGATTTATTACATAGTACTGGATTCATTCTATGCATTCTATATCTTTCCATAATTAATTGTTGTTCAACATTCAAACTTATCAAATATCAACATCATCCTCATCAACATGGTGATCTACCAAGAACACATATACTATCATTACCGCCATTACAGAAAAGATTTGAATTATTTGAACCATTAGATACAAATTTAGTTAGAGCAATGTTTATTGGCAATACAGATCGTTTAGCTCATCATCATCAATATCATCCTAATCAATATCAACATCAACAACATCAACAACCGCCTGGTCTCAATCCGAATGATCTAGATGAGGAGAATGTTTTAAATGATCAGATGTATCATCATCATCATAAAATAAATCGTCACACTATTGAAGATGGCGATGACGATGGTGATGATGATGATGGCGAGAATAATCATCGTCATCATCATCATTTAAATGAAGAATATTATACAAATTTAAAAAATCCTCTAGGAAGTCTCATGAGATATGGATAAACACAACGTTGTTAATGAATTAGAAAAAAAAATTAATCATTGAACACATTTACTGTTGAACATTGATTGAAACATTGAATAATTAAATTGTGAATGAATTTTGAAAATCTAATTTAATAACTGTGTATAATTTTATATATATATATTTACATACATACATAGATATATATGAGAATTTAATCTTTAATTCAAAACAGCGGTTCCCTTTGATAAATTTGAATAGAGAAGAAATGAGAAGACATATTTTGTGAGATAGTAAGTACCATTTCGTGCTTTCTCATCCATCAGTCACATACTACAAGCAACATGTTAATTTGTGTAAGTACAATTTTGAAGATAAGGTCAAAATTTCTTATTTAGCATGACATTCACTCACTAGAACCATGGTAAACAAAGGTCAACATACAGTTGTGTTTGAACACATAAAGTTGGACTTTTCCGATCAATCAAGATAGCTTGAGGAGTAGTTTCAGTGCGTGTGGGTTTCGATAACATTTCACAACTCTTAAGGCTGATTTTGGGTCAATTTGATGACCACTCATCATTAGATGTTTTGCAATGGACGAGGCTGGGTTTCTTGATCGATTTTGAGATGATGGGCTAGGTTGATGAATCATGGATTTGATTAGCCATTTTGGAATATGTTCCCCTATCCTGTCTTCCAATCGGCGATCTGTCCTCCCTAAGTAACTTTCTCCGCAGTTACATGTGAATTGGTAAATACAGTGGGATTTGGACTGAATCGGTCTTGGAGACTTGATTGGGGTTGCTGAGTTCTGACATGTCATCAAAACCCACACACACTCAAACTACTCAAAGCTATCTTGATTGGTCGGAAAAGTCCAACTTTATGTGTTCAAAAACAACTATGTTCAAAAACTATCTGAAGTTTGTGCTGATGATGTTGTTCAGAAGAACAATGAAAGCTCCACAACCAAAATAACCAGCTCAGAGAACGAAACACCACCACAAAACAATTGTATGTTGACCTTTGTTTACCATGGTTCTAGTGAGTGAATATCATGCTAAATAAGAAATTTTGATCTTATCTTCAAAACTGTATTTACACGAATGACATGTTGCTCGTATGTGACTGGCGAGAAAGCACAAAATGGTACTATCTCCCAAAATATGTCTTCTCATTTCTCTATTCAAATCAATCTTTGATTGTCTGAAATTACAAAATGTACGGTGTGTTTTGTTATGTTTGAGTTTTTGTTGTTGAATTACTACACTATGCGTGAAATGTTATTTTAAGGTATAAAATGAATATGAAGAAGACCACCATTAAAAACTTGGAAGCACTGAAAGACGGCCGTTTCGTCCTGGTATGGGACTCATCAGTGGCAATGCGCATCCGCGACCCCTGCCCCTCGCAGGATTCGAAGCCGGGACCTTTGGCATTCTAGGCGAATGCCTTACCATCGTACCACTGGGCAGGCATTGATGATTTCAAATGTGTAAAAACACAAACCTCCAAAACTGTGCCCCAGAATATGAAGTAATTTAAAGGAGGCAATTGTTAATTGAGTAAATATCTTAATAGATTGAATTCCTTTGAATTTCAACTTTTCAAATGTCAACTGTTTGTTAGGAGACTTTTTAAAGATTTTTTTTAGTAAAGTTTTCATAAGCCATGAAGAGATTGGATAAAAAACATACTTCTACCGATTATTGTCTCGCATAAAAACGTTGAAGATTGCGTTTTTAGTATCTTAAGTCAATAGTTACAAAATTTGTGGCCAATTTCATTTTAGTTTTTGGATGCTTTTGAAAATATCAAGGTCATTTATAGTTTTCTTCATAATTATCCTCATTTATCTGAGCAAAAATTAACTTTTGAAGTCAAACATCTTCAATGCTTCCCAACTTTTATTTTTCTCTCTTGGAATTTAAGAATATCAAACTTTGGAAAGCTGGGAAGCAGTTAAAAATATCTATTTCTAAGAGTTCAATTATACAAAATACATCGCTAAATCAGAAAATAAAACAATATTCCAAAGTGATAGAAGAGTTTGTTGATAACTTAGAAGTAAAAGGAATTTTGAAGTTGTTTTATTCAATGAGATATTTTATATTATCATGAAGCTTTCATTTGTTCTATTGTAGTCAATTATAAGAAATTTCTAGTGATTTTACGTGTTAACTAAAACAATTAAAGATATTTTTAAATAGAATAAGGAATAATTACACTTGCAGAAAATTTTCTCTCTCATATATAAGATACTAGTAATGAATGTACAGAGGTTAAGCATATCGTGCACAAGACTGAAGGTCTTGGGTTCGAATCCTGTGGCTAGCAGTAGTCGTGGATCAGCCGGATTGCTGATGAGTTCCAAACCAGGATAAAACGGGCCATTCAATGCTTCCAGGTTTTTAGTGATCTAAAATTTTCCTTTTTTACTTCATGTCAAGATTTTTTTTCCAGTGAAGTAATGAATCAATCAATGTTAGACTACCATTAGAAACCTGGAAGCACTGAAAGACGGCCGTTTCGTCCTAGTGTAGTGAAAGAGAACACAGGTGGGGCAACCGAATTGTATTTAACGAAAATTACAGAGTTACTCAGTAAAATTGGAAAACCATATCGTAAATTGTTCATTTGCAAAATATCAGTTCATCTCATATCGAACTGGACTGTTCCTGTCGCAAACAACATCAATCCATTGTCACTATTCATGCGTTTCATACAAATTCCATTGTGTTCTAACTCTTCTTCCGTTCTCTTGATCTTCCCCATCTTCTGCTGCCAGACATTACGTTGACGCTCACGTCATATACTACTTATAAGTAGCTCACACCACACTAGTATGAGACTCATTTACGGAGTGTAGCACCACTTCTGCACCTCTTAGGATTCACACTCAGGACCTTCGGTCTTGCACACGAACGCCCAACCTCTAGACCGTTGAGCCGGCATTCAACGGTGTTAATGTCTAACTCTGGTCAATCACCCAATGTCTTTGGTAGTTACTGCCTACAACCAACAGGTTTGAAATCCACCGGTCGCATCTTTCCACTAAAACTCCGAGAATTTCCTCACGAAGCTAGTCATTAATGAGCACACTTATTCATTTAGTATTAGAGTAATACGGAGATCGTTGTTTTTCATTGAAATCATGAGGGTGAGGTTGCTCAAAATTCCTAGATTGGTCAAATTTAAGCATTAACACGGTTGGGTGCCGGCCCAGTGATCTAGTGGTTAGGTGTTCGCGTGCAAGAACAAAGGCTCTGGGTTCGAATACTACGAGTAGCAGGAGTCGTGGATGGACACTGTTGATCAGTCCCAGATCAGCAGGACGCGATCGTCTAGGTTTCGAATGGTCGTCTAACAATGATTACATCACTTCTACCTGACGTTTAGACGGATGATGCTGTTCAGGAGAACAATGAAAGTTCTGCAAACATAACATCGAGGCTCAGTGAATGAAACATCGTCACAATCATCCACCTGAGTTATAAGTTTTCTCCACCATTCTCTACTTTATTCATAATGAAACATTTGAACATATTTGTTTTTACAGAGAGTTCATTCAAGCGAATCTCATAAGTAACAAATTTTTTTATACTTAAATTTAAGAGAAAAATATTTACTAAGGTTTGATTTAATAATTTGAAAACAAATTGAACCTTGAAAAGATTGTTAATCATAAAAAGCAATATATTTTTTAGTATCTCAATGAATGGAAATCTTAAAATCTTTCTGACATTTCACAACTCACTGTAAGTATGGGAGCTGTGACATTTTGTAATGTGAAATGACAGAGTTGAAGTTTCTGACATAATGATACTAGTGTGAACTGTGAAAAAGAATCAGATATGGCAGCTTGGATAGATGTGTAGTGCGCGCTACTTATAAGTAGTATATGACGCGAGTAAATGCGTAATATCTGGCAGCAGAATATAGGGGAAGATGGAGAAAGTAAGAAGAGTGGGAACACAATGGAATTTGTATGAAACGCATGAACAACAGTGAAATGTCAGACAATGGATTGATGATTGATTGATATATTGAAAATTAACGGTTTAGGATATGGTTTTCCTATTTACCAATTAACTCTGTAATTTTCGTTAAATACAATTCGGTTACCCTCACCTGTGTTCTCCTTCACTACATTTGGTGTCGCTGCCTACGCAAACGATGAAGATACCATGGCCGAAGGAATTTGAGGACGGAGATGTGCGGAGCTTCCTGCGGGAATTTGAGGCCGTGGCGGAGCTGGTGGGTGTGAAGGAGCCGAAGGCGATGTTGGTGGTGCTGGGGACGCTGCTGAGGGGTAGGGCAAAGTCCGTATACGAGAGCTTGGACGGTGCTGGCGGGGAGATGACGTGGGAGACAGTCACCGGGCGGTTGATGACGGAGTTCGACAGCCCAATGGACAGGGAGAAAGCGCTGCAGGAGTTCCGGTTGGCGGGGCTGTCTGCTGATGGTGACCCGCTGGTGCTTGCTGTGGAGCTCACCAGATTGTTGCGCCGTGCTCTGCCAAATATCGATGAGGAGTCGGGGGCACAGTTGTTGACGTCGCAATTTATCGAGAGTGTGCCTGCCGACGTGTCCCAGCAGCTGAGACTAGTAAACGCAGCGCGACCTATGGGTATCGGTGAACTGGTGAAGGTGACTCGTCAGCTGATGACACGAACAGTAGCTCCGGTCGGGTGCGGAAAGCAGGAGATAAATACTGTCGAGCAGAAGAATGAGGAGTTGGAGCGTAAGGTCACAACATTACGAGCGATCATAAAAGAAACGATAAATGTTACGCTTGTGGAGGGGTAGGACATTGAAAGATAAACTGTCCAACAAGACGACGATATTTTAGACATAACGTGTGTTCTTTCCACCCTAGGAATCGGGAGGTTCTTGCACTAGTAGATAGAGGGGCACTTTATGCTAGAGTGTACATAAATGAACAGGAGTTAGTGTGTTTGATCGATACAGAGGCAGCTATATCGTTAATAGGCAAAGAACAATGTACGACAATCAAACCATAGGAGGGCATATGCTAGAGGTGTTGGGGGTATCTAACAGTATTGTAAAAATGAGTGGAGCTGAGATATGGATTTTGTGACAAAGCAAAGCATGAAATTCCTATAAAGAACGACCGAGTAAATATATTTGCAACACGTCG